AGAAGAGGAGGAAAACGACAAGGAGGAAGACGAGGAGGAAGACGAGGAGGAAGACGACGAGGAAGACGACGAGGCAGAGGGGGCAAAGAAAAGACTCCATGATGAGATAAGCAGCGAAGATGAAGGTCCAGTGGTGGACGACATCTCGGGGGCTTCGGTGATGGAGGATAAATCACCAAAGGTGGGAAAGAGCAAAAAAAGTGCCAGGCAGGGCGGCGGAGGCGCCGACGGAAGCAGCAGAGGTGCCGAAGGGAGCAGCAGAGGTGCCGACGGGAGCAGCAGAGTTGCCGAAGGGAGCAGCGGCGGGGGAAAGAAGGTTCGGGGTCCCGTAGAGGTGGAAGACGCCTCGGAGGCTTCCGGAATGGAGGAGGGAGAGCTGTCGGAGGACCCTGGGGGCAGCAAGGTCTTCGGGAGCCCAAACGAGAAGCAGAAGGGCCAGGGCAAGAGGAGAAGCAGGTGCGAGGAGGAGAAGAAGACCTCAGCGGAGAACGCCGGGCTGATTGCTAGACGCAAAGCGGACAAGGCGAGGGAGGTGGAGAAAAGGAGAGCGGGTTCGACAGAGGGGGAGCTCGGGAAAGAACAAGCAAAAGGTAATGATGCAAAGGACGTGTATAATAATAACATTCCTTTTGATGGCAACGATCTCATCCCTAAACGGAAACGGTCTAAAAAGTAAGCTCAGAAGAAGCCGAGCGCTAAGTCTGTGTGAGGCCAGCATTATATGTCTGCAGGAAACACATTGGGATGGGGAGAGTGTGGATGAGGTTAAAAAGGAGTGGAAGGGAGAAGTGTTTGCAAATAATGGGAGTGAGCATGCTAGAGGGGTGGCGATACTTATCAATTCGGGGGATGTGAAGAATGTAAGGAAGGTTGAGGATGATGGTGAAGGGAGGATGATTGGGGTGCAGTATGAATACATGGGGGACACGTTTAGGTTGATAAATGTGTATGCACCAAATATAAAGAGGGAGAGAAGAATTTTCTTGAGGGGTTGGAGGGTAATGTGGGGGTAACTGTTTGATTGTGGGAGACTTCAATGTGCGGTGTGGAAGGTTGGATGCGCCCGAGGGTGCTCGGTTTATTAGCGACTCCTCGAGGGTGGCACTCAAAAAAATAATGAATGAGAATGGGTTGATAGATGTGTGGAGAGAAAGAAATCTGGATGTAAGAGAATCTTCCTGGAGACGAGTGGTGAAAGATAAACTGATGCAGAGCAGGATTGATTTAGATCTGTGCTCGGAAGCTGTTAATGAAAAAATTGGAAAGATTGAATATAGGACCACAGCGTTGAGTGATCATATGGTTCTTAGTCTCAGGATGGGGCTGAAGGTGAATGGGAGAGGCGGGGGAATGTGGTGCTTGAATGCAAAACTACTGAATGATGAGGTGTATAAAAAAAGGGTGAGAGAATGTATAAGGAGGGGGGGTGATACAAGGGACAATGATATATTAGTGTGGTGGGGGGAGTTAAAAGAGGAGATCAAGAGAATAAGCATAAAACACAGTAAGGGGAAACATATGTTTGAGAGAAGAAGGGAGGAAAGGGTGAGGGGAGAGTTGGCGAAAGAGGCAGCAAGGATAGACAAAGAGACAGGGAGAGATTTAGGGAGATACACGAGGATCAAAGATGAGCTAGAGGGTATAGAGAGGGGGAATGCAAGGGGGGCGATTGTTAGAAGCAGGGCAAAGAATGCAATGGAGGGGGAAAGGTGTACTGGTTACTTTCTGAGTTTGGAAAAAATTAAGCAGGGAAAACAAATATTTAAAACAGGTTGAGGGAAAGGATGGTAGGAAAATAACAGATTTAGTAGGGATAGCAGAAAGAGTGGAGGAGTTCTACAGGGAATTATTTAAGACAGAAGAGGCAGATAGAGAGAGTGTGGAGACGGCGATAGACAGTATGGATAATGATAGAGAGATGTGTGAGGGAGAGATAGGTACAGGAGAAATAGATCAAGCAATGATCAAGCAATGTTGGGTAGAAATAAGAGTCCAGGGTTAGATGGGTTAACAGCAGAGTTTTACATCACGTTTAAGGAAATGTTGGTACCGGTGCTGCACAGGGTGTTCAAACACATTGAGGAGGAGGATGACCTGCCGGCAAGTATGGCAACGGGGGTTATAAGCATCATTTACAAAAAGGGTGATAGGGACAGATTAGAAAACTATAGGCCGTTAAGCATGCTTAACAATGACTACAAAATATTGGCGAGGGTGTTAGGGAATAGAATAAAGAGGGTGATTAAAACGGTGGTGGGTGGGACTCAGGCGTATAGTGTACCGGGGAGGGATATAAGTAACACGACAAGCAGCATCAGGGATACTATTAAACACATGAAGGGGAGGAAGGGGGGCATAGTAATGAGTCTTGATTTAAATAAAGCGTTTGATCGGGTTAATCATCAGTATTTATATAGAGTGTTAGGGAAAGCAGGTTTTGGGGTTAAATTGGTGGGCTGGATCAAAAGATTATATAGTCGGGCGGTGAGTTGCGTTAAAATAAATGGGATTGTTACAAATGTGTTTAGGTTAGGGAGGTCGGTCAGGCAGGGATGTCCTCTCTCCTCCATGTTGTATGCCTTGTCAGCTGAACCATTAGCCACAATGCTAATACAGAACAAAAACATTAGAGGGGTGGAGATACCGGGGGGACAGACCAGTCTCCTGTACCAGTATGCAGATGATACCACGGTAACGGTCAGAGATGGGGACAGTGTGAGGGAAGTGTTAGAAGTAGTGCAGCAGTATGGCAGGGCGTCAGGGGCAAAGATAAATATAGACAAATCAGAGGTAATGTATATAGGTGAGGAAGGAGTGGATAGGACAGGAATAGGGCTCAAGGAAAGGAAAGATTATTTTAAGGTGCTGGGTGTTAATTTGGGTATAAAGGAAATGGAAGGGAGGGATGAGCAATATGAGGGAATCATCAACAGAATGAAGAAAACGCTAAAGTTTTGGAAGATGAGGCATTTAAAGTTAAGAGGGAGGTAGTGGTGATAAATGGGCTCATAGTGAGCAGATTAGTCTACATCATGACTGTCATGGAAATGCCTGAAAAGGTTCATAAAGAAATAGACATGGCAATAAATGAGTTTTTGTGGGAAGGGAAGAGCGTTAGAATTGCTAGGGAGGTAATGGAGAACGAGTACAGGGATGGAGGGATGAAGCTGATCAACGTGGAAAGGAAAAAGAAGGCGCTAAGGGTTAAAATGATGTTAAAATATGTTGGTGACAAGGAGGGGAAAAAGGATCATGCGTGGAAGGTATTTTTAAAAGAAGCTATCAATAAGTGTGGAGGCTGTGGTGACAGCGCGTTGTTCATGGCTTTAAGAAAAGAAATGCTGAGCAGTGTGTCGGAGTACCACAGGGAGGCGCTATTAGCATGGGGGGAGTTTCTGAAAGGGGTAAAGCAAGAGTGTGTGAATGTTGAGCAAGTGTGGAATCAGCCTATTTTTATGAACCATATGATCACGGTGCAGAAGAGTCCTGTATTTGATCTCCAAATGTGGAGGGCGGGAATTAGAAACATAAGGGATCTGGTGTATGAGTTTGTGCCGGGGTTCATGGGGGCACAGGTGATAGTGGATGAGGTGAGGGGTAGAGGGGGGTGTATGCCTTTGAGAACGGCGGAAGAAATCTTGGAGAGGGTGAAAAAGGGTTTGCCTGTGGAGTGGGTGAGAATGGTTGAATGTGAGGCGACAAAAAGTGGAGAGAGCGTGGCAGAAATGTATGTGGGGGAAGGGGATGCTCGTGTTAAAATGGAGAAAGTCAACACGAGGGTGATTTACAAAATGCTGAGGGGTGGTAAAATAAGAAGACCTGCTTCTGAGCGTGTGTGGGGAAATGTTTGTGAAAAGTTTGATGGGCGGAAGGTATGGGGTAATTTAAGGGTGAAATGGAACAGCATTGAATGTGAGCATTTTGATTTTATGTTTCGTCACAACAGGGTGTACAACAATTTGATCAAAAGCAGGTTTAATATCACGGTGAAGAAAGAGTGTGATGTGTGTAAGGTAATGGTGGAAACGTGTATGCATGAATTTTTTGAATGTGGAGAACTGAAGGTGTATTTTGAACGGTTGAAAGGGCTAATTGAAAAGTGTTGGGGGGATAGAATATTAAAAACGTTGGAATGGAAGGAGCTGTGGCTGTTTGGGGTGACTGGGGGAGTGAAAGGTCCCAATGTGAATCTCTGTAACTATGTGCTGAGCCATGCCCGGTATGCTGTAAAACTTAGGAGAGACTTGGCCCATAATGGTAACAGAAAGGTAGACGCATGGGACGTATTTAAGAGGACTTTAAGCAAGGACGTTCAGATGGCATATGTGTACCTAGAAAAGGACGCCTTTCTGGAGTGTTTTGTGGATGGGTGCACTCTGGTGGAGGTTGGTGACAATGACAGACTGGTGTTTAAGTATGACAGTGTTGGAAAACATGTGTAGGGTGAAACGTGAAAAACGTAAAGTATGTTTTATATAAATGATTGCCGGTTTGCTGTGTTTTGTTTCTCGTATTCTGTTTTTGTATTATCATTTACTATGAATGGTCATTCAAGTAAGATCCAATGGTTTTTTGGCAATCTTTTTCTTTTGGCTAATTGCATTCAGTTTATTTCTTTTATTTTGTCATGTTATGCATGACTATTATGTTTGATTGTTTTAAATGCCTAGGACCAGGTGGAGGGATTATATCTCTTCGCTGGCCTGGGAGCGCCTTGGGATCCCCCAGTCAGAGCTGGTTGATGTCGCCAGGGAAAAGAAAGTTTGGGGCTCTCTGCTGGAACTGCTACCCCCGCGACCCGACCACGGATAAGCGGGAGAAGATGGATGGATGGATGGATGTTTTAAATGCAGGGCCACCGTGAAACCACATGTGCAAATTGTAAATATTGAATTATGAATTTTCTAATAAAAAAAGACAAAAAAAAAAAGTGAGTTTGATTTTACAGAATGGGAAGCCTATGAGCACCTATCACAGCTGTAGTATTGGTTGTCAGAGCACCTGCTGATGCTCAAATAGTTGCGGCAAAGAAAGTTATCATCTTTTCACATTACCAGCAGTCATGTGCAACAGGATGATACGCAAGAGAAAAGGCGCTGGTGTTTACCTGGCTGCAGCTGTTATTCTGACGTGTTATTTTGCGCAAACTTTAGACTGTTATCGTCTGAAGAAAACAGAAAGACGAGAAGGGAGAAAAGATGCCGATGCAACAAATGGGTTCCAAGAGGGGACAATTGTTTTCGGGAGAGCTTTTGAAAAAGGGTCAGGTCTTGATTCTCAAGTCACAGACGGGACCAATAAATCATCCTCAAACGCTTATGAGGAGGATGAAGGTGATTATCAAGCAGACGCTGCAGGTAAAAATATTTTGATTACGTATTGAAGGGTTTGTTATTTTTGCTTGAATTGTTTTGCATCTCTTTAAAGTGCAAACTATTTAAAAATATGTATATTATATTCGCCTTCAGGTTGGATGAGCCCAACACAAGTGGCCAGTCCCCAAGACTCATCATGGAAGAGCATGTCGCCCTCACTGCAGTGTGGTTCGGGCCAGTTGAAGTTCAGAGCGGTGGAACCAGGAGCATCACAATTTGCAGTAGAACAAGGTAAATCAATAGCCATAATATCCTAAATGTAGACTTGATTTATCTCTACCAATGATATACACACTGAACCTTTTTACCCCACAGGAAATGCACCTCCAATGCCTCTGTCCCAGGTCCCGTCTACCTGTGGCTACAGCATGCAGAGGAACTCACATGCACTTGTCATGTTGGTTCCCTATGATGGCTGCAACATGGTTCAAGAGGTAATGTGAAACTGATTTAAAGAGTGAGGAAGTGAGTTTAAAAAAACGATGGCTAGTGCTGTGAATTGTTATAGTTATGAATGGTTTAACGAGAGCCAAATAAATTAAATGTTTAATCTGCATCATATTGATCTCAAGTGAAAATGTGTTTTCAGCTTTTCAAATGCGAGTTGTTTTTCGCTTGCTTTCAAATGTACTAATTAACTATGTTTTTTGGATGGGGACCGACATTCAAATATGTTGCATCATGATGATCTGTTCAGAAGATATAGCATGAGATTAATCTTTTGCCTTGTACAGTCGGATTGTAACATTGACAGGTTTGTGTGATTCCTTGCTGTTTCTAATTGTATGTTTTTCTCCCAAAGGGTGGAAGTTATGTACTCCCGATGCGTTGGCAAGGAATTCCAGTATCTCTCTCTGGTGTTCCAAACCTGCCTCACCTCCTGCCTCACCTACTGCTGCAACTCCTGCTTCCAAGACAACTTTCCCCAATTCCCCTGTAGCTCAATACCCTGATATACCTCAATTCCCTCAATACCGTCCATTCCCTCAATACCCTCAATACCCTGAGAGGCCACAAAACCCTGAGAGGCCACAAAACCCTGAGAGGCCACAAAACCCTGAGAGGCCACAAAACCCTGAGAGGCCACAAAACCCTGAGAGGCCACAAAACCCTGAGAGGCCACAAAACCCTGAGGCCACAAAACCCTGAGAGGCCACAATTCCCTCAAAACCCTGAGATGCCTCAATTCCCTGAGATGCCTCTTCCACAATATATGCCGATGTATCCTGCCTTTAATCCTCTTTATCCTCCCAAATATCCAGCTACAAAGCCAAAACCTACTGCGGCGACAACACCAACTACAACTAAACCAAAGGCTAAAAATCCCTCATCGCAGCTTCCACCATCTATGCCTTACTATCATCTTTACCCTATGACCCCTCCCTATCCCCAATATCCAGCCACTCCAGCTACCACTGTGAAACCAGATTGCCCCGCCCACTCCCCCATCCTCCTTTTCATCCCCATGTTCACTTGCCCATACCAATGCTGCCTCCTTTTCCTCCTCCACGCTACCATACTTAAACAGTTCTAATAAAAGTTTTGAACAGAGACGCTTTATAGTTTGTGCTTTTGTTAACCTTCAACTACCCAAGAGACTTTTTATTCCCAGCTCTTCAAGAAGTCTCATTTGGTTTGTGAATGAGTGAACAGTCCATATTGAGAAATGATATTTCATTTAAACAGAACAATTGTGCTGACAAATTAACTTAAAGTGCACACTTTAAATTCCTAACTTTATAAATGTAATTAATGTTTGGCATTTGAAGTGTTGTCATAGTGTGGCTTTGTGTCCACATGGTGGCATCATTGCTCAACCATTTCTTAGTAGGTTTTGAATTGGAACATTTTGTGTTCACACTAGCTTACCTTGTGTGAACAAGCTTTAAAATGGTTGTTTTTTTGAAAACGTATTTCAGTCAAAGGTAAAGTTCCATCATGTCATTTCCTAAAATACGTAACATAATGCTGTGTGAGGGACGCTGGCTTCACTCATTACATAGACCAACTCTGAAATGGAGCATTTACAACTTTGGGCAGTTCTGCAAAACATTGAACCTTCAGCATTTGTCTCTTTTTGATTTTGTAAACAAGCATTACTAAATGTTTGGTCAAACACTAGGTCAGAAGTGTTCAAACTACACATGTAGATGTTATATTATAAAAGTAGTCGTCAGTAGTGGTCAAAGGCAAGAGGTCATTCATTTTGTTTCTAAGAGTAACAATTTTATCGTTAACAAAGCACATCAAATCATTGCTACTGAGTGCTATGGGAATAGAAGGCTCAATCGAGCTATGGTTCTCTGTCAGCCTGGCTACAGTGCTGAAAATAAATCTTGCATTATTCTTAATCTCATTTATTAATGAAGAGTAGTAAGCTGCTCTCGCTTTACGCAGTGCTTTCTTATATTCATTGAGAGTACTATGCCAAATTAAACGAGATTCTTCAAGTTTAGTGGAACGCCATATCCTTTCAAGTTGTCTCGACTTTTGCTTTATTTTGCAGGTTTCGGCATTATGCCATGGAGCTAATCTATGTTGTTTTATTTTCTTCTTTTTCAAAGTAGCAACAGAGTCTTATTTTATTTGCAGCGCATCTGTATCACTATCAACAACATAATCAATTTGGGGTGGTGTACATTTTGTATAAGTTTCCTCCCTGATGGGTCCAGGCTCAAGGGCGTATGCCACTCTCAAACTCTTTCCAGGACATGTCGGGGCCCTGCCTGCCAGTAGCTTTGCCGATATCTGTGTTGATAGGTAATAGATTAAGAGTGGTGAATCATAGAAACAGGAAGCGCTCAAACATTTGTGTGAGTTTATCTAATTTAGCAGTGATTCCATGTCAGCCACAGCTTGTTACAAAAAACATGACTGATAGTGTGTTTAACAAACTTAAACTAGCTTTATTAAATGTCAAGTCTTTGGCAGGAAAAACATTTTTAATCAATGATTTTATCACTGAGCACAATCTCGATTTTATGTTTTAACAGAAACTTGGATTGAAACAAATAACAGTGCAGCTGTTCTTATCGAATCAACCCCTCCCAACTTTGTGAGGAATTGCAGTATCTCCTTCTCCTTTTTTCTGTTTGTCTGTCTTCCTGGCTGGGCGTGGTTGACCTACTTTCCGTTTTCCCGCCAACTCACCTCCGCTCCTGTTTCTCATCATCACTGATTACCACTACTCACCTGCTGCTGCTTAAAACTCCGGTTCGATCATCAGACTTTGCCAGTTCTTCGTATACTCACAGTGGTAAACTCCAGTTCCGGCTGACTAGAATTGCTAGTCTTTTTGTATACTCTTCCAGTTGGATTTTTCATATACTAATCCTGTTCTGTTTTGTGCCTGTTCCAGAAACTCCATATTCCATTCCGTCCTGCCTGCCACGTCCAGCCCAACCTCCGTCTCAGGGAGAGTTTGCTTTGTCTCCTGCCTGTTTTTTGAGGACTTGAATAAATCCAGTCTTTTTGACACTTCACCTAAGTCTCCGTCCCAAGTGTTCTTGCATAGCGGGTTCAAGTTTTGAGTCTCTTTACGAGGAGCGTAACAGAAGAACTGGCCAAGAATTAACCCCGCAGGATCCGGAGCGGATTCTACCCCAATCCTTCATGCCCTGTCAAGTCAGGGTTCCTTCCTGGGTGAACACGAAAAGCTCATCCGAGCGTTGGTTTAGAGTAACCGGTCCATGGCTCATCATGTCTCAGAGTTGGCGTGCAGATCTCGACTCTCACTACCCTCGACGGCAGCATTTCAGGCTACTCCCAGTCCAGTGCCTTTGCCCCCTCCTCGCCAGGATTTTCCTATCACCGATCCTGAGCCATTTCACGGAGATGTGGAGAAATGCAGAGGTTTTTTGTTTCAATGTAACAAGGTTTTTCGCCAGCGTCCTGTTGCATTTGCTGCTGAAGCAACGAGGATTAATTTTGTTTTGGGGTTGCTCCGCGGGAGATGTTTAACCTGGGCAGAGGCTTTAAACTCTTCGGTGGATTTTGACACTCTACGTTTTGAGGGCTTCTCTGATCGGTTCTCAGCTGTTTTTGATCATCCCAACTCCTCTGGCTCCGCCGAGAATAAGCTGCTTAGCCTGCAACAAGGAAGCCGGACAGTGGCTGATTACTCCATCGAGTTTCACACACTCGCTGCAGAGGCTCGATGGGACGAGGCGGCTCTCAAGGCGGTGTTTTTAAGAGGATTAAGTGACCAGCTTCGGGACGAATTGGCAGCACGAGACGTTCCAGCGGATCTCTCAGAGCTGATCTCCTTAGTGTCTCGTTTGGACGGTCGTCTACGGGAGCGCCGAGCTGAGCGAACACGGAGGGATTCACCAGTTTCACTCAGTAAGCCCAGTTTTTCCTCCTACTTCTGCTCACTCGGTGTCTAGACCCTCCATCTTTTCCTCCACCGTCCAGCGTGCGCACCTCTTCTCAGGAGGAGCCCATGCAACTGGGTCGTGCTAGACTTTCTCTGGAGGAGCGTCAGCGCCGGATAGGTGCAGGCCAATGCCTGTATTGTGGAAAGACTGGGCATAGCATTCCCAACTGCCCAGTACGTCCAAACTGGGAGGCTCGTCAGTAAGATTGGGGGTTCTGACGAGTCCACAGCAATCATCTCTAACCCCATCCTTGACTCGTTTTCTTATTCCCGCCAAGCTCTGTGTTAGTTCTATGACATTGCCTCTCCAGGCTCTCATTGATTCTGGTGCGGAGGATAGCTTTTTGGACCAGGAGCTAGCTGGGACTCTGCTTGGAGCCGCTAGAGGAACCGTTAACTGCCTATGCTCTAAATGGAGAAATCATCTCCTCAGTCACAGCACAGTCACCCCTTGTGACTTTAATCACCTCCGGAAACCACCGTGAACTTATCCAGTTTAAGGTAATATCCTCTCCTTCAACACCTCTGGTTTTGGGTTACCGTTGGCTACGTACTCACAACCCACACATTGATTGGGCTAAGGGAAGGATTATTGAATGGGATCAGCACTGTCTCGCTAACTGCCTGTGTTCTGCCATACCTTCAACTTCTGTTTCCCCAAATCCTGTTGTCTGCCCTGATGCATCTGTAGATTTGACTGGTGTTCCTACTACTTACCACGACCTGCGTTGGGTCTTCAGCAAAGAGAGGGCCCTCTCTCTTCCTCCCCACCGACCCTACGACTGATCTGCTCTCTGGAGCTCCTCTGCCCTCCAGCCGCCTCTACAATCTGTCCCGTCCTGAGAGGGAGGCTATGGAGCTTTATATCACGGACTCTGTGGCTGCTGGTATTATTCGTCCCTCCTCTTCTCCTGTGGGTGCCGGGTTCTTCTTTGTAGGCAAGAAGGATAAGTCGCTACGACCTTGCATAGACTTTCGGGGGTTAAACAATATCACGGTCAAGAACAAGTACCCATTACCCCTTCTCACCTCAGCTTTTGAACCTCTCCAAGAGGCAACCCTGTTCACCAAGCTTGACCTTCGAAACAACCTATCATCTGATCCGCATCCACCAGGGGGATGAATGGAAGACAGCGTTTAACACTCCATTGGGCCATTTTGAATATCTGGTCATGCCTTTTGGTCTCACTAACGCCCCAGCAGTTTTCCAGGCTATGATCAATGATGTCTTGCGTGACTTCCTTAACCGCTTTGTCTTTGTCTACTGTTACGTGCCAGGCAGGCCGTACTGGTGTGGTTTTCCTTCCCTCCTGTGTTTCTCTATTCTCCCTGTCTTCTGCACAGCTAATCAGCAGCTGATCGGTATCTGCCTGTGCACCTGAGTCTGATGGCTGATTGGATCCTCTCCCTCTCAGCTGGCCTATCAGCAGCCAGGGCCGACCATACAGGAGGCACCCAGGAAGTCTTCTCGCTCTCTCACTCTGGGCCTGTTGCTGATGAAGGAGCCTGCAGTGTTTAGCCACTAATTCACTTTGTATTGTCAGACCTTTTTGAAAGTGTGTGTGTTGAGAGGTGGAGGAGTTAGGT